CCAATTTAACATTAAAAATGAGAATCTGAGCAATGCAAAAACTTACTCTTGTACATTCTTTTGAGGGTTTGGTTGAATCTAGGTGTAATTCCCTGCTGCCACCTTCCAAGGGCCGTTCTACTGTGAAAAGTTTAACATCTAGATTGTGGCATAGAAATGGAGTCCAGGAGTGAAAGCAAGAACACTTGTCAAGTGTTTTGAAATTTGAACTAATTATCAACTGCTACATCGGTTCTTGTTTCAATTGAGATGGTGCAGAGGAAAGTTATAGTTGTAATTTGTACAAAATCAATGCCTTTCTTCAATAAAAGAATAGAGATGCATTTTGAAAAAAAAAAGAAAAAGAAAAAGAAAAAAGAAGTGAAATACATACCACGGCAAATTTCTTTGTCTCTTGAACTAGAGCATCTACCCTCTTCAAATATCTGTTTATACAATATTGTCGTTCATTCCAAATAAATAGAAGAAGGAAATTTTCAAGTACATAAATAGTGATATTATTGGGGCTTTTTTCCGGCCGTAGAAATATCATATATATATATTTATTAAAAATAAAAGTAAGGTCTTACAAAAAAGTTTATACAAACCAAAGGCAAAACAGAGTCCACACCATGACCAAAATAAACAGCACAAAAACATAAAATCAAAATGATAGACACCAACATAAAGAGTATGCAGGGAAGGAAACATCAGAAGGGATGTTAGCGGCACAAGTGCCACAAAGAAGCTTACCAAAAGCTTGGCCATTGTTCCATTCTTCAACCAATGAGGAAGAGAGATAGCAGATGGGCCCAAGGACTCACAATTGTGAATCCAGAGGAAATCCTTCAACAACTTGCCTGAACTAGCTACCTCTTGCTAAGAAACATCAACTGAGAAGTAGATCTGGGTTTGATGATGATTTTAGTGGTACTTGCCATAATAGCACTGGAGAGCCAGCAACATTAAGTAGGAGAAAACTTCTTCCACAACCCCACCCTCCTCCCCCAGACCACACCATACTACCATCTCCAAACATACATCAACCCTCCACCAACACTCATTCCTTTTATTACAAAAACAACAAAATGGACAGATGTAACAAACTTAACATAGTACTAAAAATTAACATAAGAAGGGTCAACATGTTCCTGACATGAAAGCTCCAAGTAGGCCAAGGGTAACCCTAACCCAAGGCTACCAATACCCATAAAACTCATGGCTGTACAGTGGTTTCAGGACCACCACTAAGCCTAACTTTAGTTGTCCTCCCAAAAATGAAAATATCAAAATTAGTCAGAGGGACATTAATTAACTTACCTTCATCAACCAGCATATTAGCTTAAGTAATAGGCAAACCATTCGTCAATTTTGGCCTCATTTTTTCCTTCCCATAATGCTTTTAGAACCACTGCCTTTTGCAAGATACCTCACAGGACTTGGTAGAGTTAGCACATGCCTCTCCCTTAGTGTTTGGCTTAACTTGAGCTTCTTCATGGTAGGACCTAAAGGACTTACAAGCTTAGGCCTTTTTAAGCTCAAACCAATTAGGACCTTGTTCAATTGAGCATGTAAAGTTGGCCTAAGGCTCTACTAATCAACTTTATCCTTCTTGCCCCCTCCCAACTCCTCACCAAGGATTTCTACATAATATGCAATCCTTACTTCACTTCCCTTAACCATGAAAGCGGTGGCAGAAACAATAGCTTTCTCACCATTAGTTACCCCTTGCCCTTTGTTGATCTCTTGAACCTTAGATTCTTCACTATTAACAATAACAAGAAAAATATCCAACTTTCCCATAGAAGAACAGTAACCAACTTCATTTTTGTTTTAGGTTACATTTGAAAGGCTTAAATCACACTGGTTAGGATTACCTACTTTCAAAGGAGATAGGGTTTTAAAAATTAGCTTATGCTTCAGGTCGTTCTTAATATGGCTAAGACTACAACCAAGGGTTTGGTAAAGTATGGAATCTTAAACTACATGATGAACTGGCCCCTTTTTACCCCTTAGTTTGTTTTTTTCATTGGTTAGCAAAGCCCTAACAAGGGAGTAGGTTAGACATGGCTTGTTATCTCTACAATTAAGGATAGTTTTAACACTTTTAGCACTCTTCATCTTATCTTTCACTTGTTTATTCCTTAGCCATTCCCCGTACATGCTCTTAGTAGGATCTTGCATTGATATAGCCTTTCCCTCGACATAGACTAACTCGCAATGCCCTAACCTTCCACAGTTATAACAAAAATAAAAAATCCTTTCATATTTTAGAGATACCAATCTAGATCCCTTAGACTTCAATTGAGAGTAACATCGATCAAAACCCTACATGTAAAAATCTTCTAAACAAACCATTGCTAATTCTAGGGTTCTCAACTTTAATCAAGATTCAATGTTACTACCAATAAACTAGGCATTATTGTAAGTCAGTTGATCTATATTCAGATTATGAGCTTGAACCTAATATGACCCACTTCTCGACGTTTCAAATTAAATAAGAACCCGTTAGTAGCCCAGTAAGCATTTTCTAACACATAATTAAGATAATTCTTAATTATGAAAGAAATAGTGTAGAGGTTTTCCTCAACTTCATTTACCTAAAAATCACGTTGATTAGCCCATGCTTTTATTAGCATACTGGCACCTTGTTGCAATGGACTAAGGTGACTAGTACAACTCAACTAGCCACTGTGAAAGATTTTTGCTCCTCTGATTGCTCATTTGAATCAAGGCCCAAGACAAGGAGTAGATGATGAAGATGCTAGAGGTAATTGCAAGGAAAACTATAGAAATTAAAAGTATACGGAACTAATTGATAGGATTTTTATGGATTTTTAATTTTTAGGGTTTCTTTAGGAAAAAGCAAGAAAATCAAAGGAAATAGGGAATCTAAGAACCAATAAAACAAAAGGGGATGAAATCAATGAAGGTAGAGGTAAAAAACTTGGAAAAAATTTGGAAAGAAAGTTATCTAGGGCTTGACGGTTGGTCTCTATATCAAAGGAATGCTCTAGCCTCAAGAGTGATTGGTTTTCCCTTTAAGTGATATTATTGGTATAAAAGGGAAAAAAAAAGAGTTTGAAAATTTCTTTTTCATTTTTCAATTTTTTGCACAATTCCTCATCAAACAAATGTTATTAAACACTCACACACTCATCAACTTAAAGAAACTCATTTCCTTTTCACAAACACCCATACAGTCAAAATCCAATTAGAAAAATAAAATTATATACAATTTCCTTCTTGAATCAAACAACAAAACTATATAATTATAAACAATAATTGAGAACGATATTGATTTTGATGATTTACATTCCACCACCATTGACAGAAAAATGGATAAAAACCTATATCCCTTTTTCATTTCTTTTTCCTTTGAACTTGTGCTTTCTCATCAACCAAATAGAATTCTAAATAGAATCAACATACATAGAGCATAAACCCATAACGGGAAACTCACCAAAGGAAAACAATTGTTGCAAATTTGCTAAAAATCAATGAAACCAAGGATTAAATACAAAAGAATCTCCCCCAAGGTAGCATGGTAAAGCATCTTTATGCATAATCTAACTTAAAAATGGGGAAAAGAAAGACAAAAAAATTTAGAAGAAACACCAAAATAAAACTTTTTCAGGTATAAGGATTGACATCATCCCAATAGACACCGCAAGGGCTTTCTTTGAGCACCACTAACCTCACCCAAGAAAAGAGTTGCAATTCATCCATTCAGGTTTCACGAGTGCTTACTTGCAATTTAAATTTTGAGATCGGGAATAGGATTTATTTGGAGATTGAGGTTAGGATTTTTTAAATCTTCCTCGCAACACTATTGAAATTGTCATGGGAGACATTGCAAATTATAGAGGTAACCACTAATCCACTACCTATAGTGGTGGTGTTTTTCTTCCACTAATATCTCTAATATTAATAGTCATAAATTGAGAAGACAAAAGCAGTGGACCAATGAAGGAGCAATTGTTTGAGTTTAATAATATATTTAGGTTGAGAGAAATGAAGATGAAGTAAGGGTAGGCGAAAAATTTTTTCTATTTTATTTTTTTTTTAATTTAGTTATTTATCTAAATGAGTGGAAGGGAGAGGGGACTAGATAATTGGGTTTTTAGGGGTGAACTAGAGAATTTGGCTTTTTTAAGTTATTGTAAATGGGGGGTTTTTTTTTTTTTTTAAGAATTTAGTGTTTTAACTTTTAAATTCTCTAAAACAATTTGGTGTTATTAACTTTTAAATTCTCTAAAGACTAATTTCTTTTACTGGGAAATTTGGATGATTTTGTGTAAAATTATCATTGGTGGATAATTTTGTATAAAATTATCATTGGATTTTTTTAACATATGTTCTCAAGATACATGTTAAAGGTGCATTTACTACACCTTTTTATCACTAATTTGTATGAAAAATTAAGAAAGTAATGTTTATATTTTCAACACTAACGCTGCATGAAGCATTTTAATTGATAAAACTAAAGTCGACTTCTATTTTTTTAAAAGGGTTTGTCTATTTTGTACTTTAAAGGCATATGTTAAGAATATACTAATTGCATCCTTTTTTTCGTTAATTTGTATAAAGAATCACAAAA